TTTTATTTAAATATGTAATTTTATTTAAAATAATTTTAAATATAGCAAAATTTATATAGAAAATCGTATCGATCCTACCAGTTCAACCGACTGGTGTTGACGGATTCAATATCAAATATTTTATTCAAGTGAACTAGACTGATTATAAATCGATTCTCGGTCAATCCGGTCGGACTGTGTCCAGTACAAGTTTAATTTAAAAACGATAGGTATAACTTGATTAATTTAATTTTATATTTAATTTATAACACAATCGTAATATTATTTTCCCGATCGCACGGGACATGCCCTAGTATATGTTTAAAAAAAAAAAATCATAAACGAGATGAAGAGATATTGAGGAAGTCGGTGGGGGCATCTAACCACCTCAGGGTAAGAATATCCGATTCCTACAAGAATTAAGAGTTGGGCTATACCCTACCAATTTTAACCACTAACAATATCCTAATCCTACATGAATTTGTATTTTTTATCTCTCTCCCTTATATATATACCTTCTGAACTTCACCCATCTAACACGTACGGTACGGACGTACGGTAGTACTACAAGATTTTCTTATATATATTTTCCTTTCTTTACGTTTCTTTCTTGTTGAGCAGCTTCAATGGAGAATAACAATAACAAGAGCGACAATCTGATGCTCATGGTGAGGTACGCGCACGGCGAAGTCTTCGATCACGCCGTAATCTCAACCAAAAACAACCGCTTCCGAGTGGTTCGAGACAACGTTCCTTTACTCAGAGGCAAAAGGCACGGCAACTTTTGCAGAGCAAATTATTGCGTCGAAGCTAGTTCCAACACCTGGCTGCTCCTGTCTAATGCGTTAAGCCATAATCGCCCAACGGATCTTATGTGGAACCCTACAACTAACGAGACGAAGCCCCTTCTTCCTTTCACTTCGTCCGTCACAGATTTGACGGAGGTTTGGGCTTATGGGGTTGGCCCCGACCCCCACACTTTTTCTTCTCCCGACTACTCGTATAAGGTGATCAGGTGCCGCCTGGAAGAAGGCCATCATAGTATACCCGATGCAGTCTATGCCGAGGTGCTCTCGCTTGGAAATCGTTGGACGAAGAATATTACGTACCCGTATAAAAAAAGTTCTCTCAAACCCTTAGGCAGCCCGTCTCTTTACCTCAACGGCTTCTACTACTGGCTAGCTTCGTCGGACGTTGATGGCCTCGTGATTATGTCGTTCGACTTTGCGAATGACGAGTTTTCGGACGCTCTCATCCCTATGCCCGTGAGTACTCCTAAGCTCAAGAACGGCCCCGGCATCAACTTCTCATCATTTCATCATCGGCTTGCTGTTGTTCTTGCCGAGTTCAATGGGTCCCTTGCTGTGGTCGTGGACGATTTTGACGCTGACGAAAATAAGGTTTTGAATTTCGACATTTGGGTATGGGACGGCGTAGGCAGAAGCTGGGCTCACGTGTCCACGTTTGATGTCCCTGCTGCTGCTTCTGTTTTTCGGGTTGTGGGCTTGTATAAGAATGATAAAGTGTTGCTCGAGGACACGAAAGGCGATCTACTGCTTTACAACTGTGAGACGCTCGAGTGGGAGAATCTGGGTATTAATGACGATTCTAAGTCTCTGTTGGTGTACCCTTATGTTGAGGCTACTCGTTCTTGGGCAGATGTTGTCCGGCAAAAGCCGTGGTAATCTACTCGTCAAGAGATTCATATATCTGCTCATCATGTTGAAGCTAGTGACTGCTAATCTTTACTTGTTTGGTTAATGTGGCCTGATTGATTT